CGGGAGGCGACGACGCCAACGGCTGAGTCAATATACGCGATAGACTACAGCAGGAGACTCGAGTTGTTTGAGACTGCGTGCAAAGTATTCGCCATACCGACGGAAGTCAGGCACGTATGGAGTCGCTTGAGGTACTTTCCATGGTTTCGGGCGACACTGACGTCTTGGTTGTACATGACAACGAAAGATCACATGAGAAAACATCAAAAAGAATATCGACAGTTCCAGGCCGAGATTGGGCCGGAAGCTTTCAAGAGACCCCTGCTAACCCATCGTAATGCGATCACGACAGGATGGAAAAGAGTGGGTAAGATGTCTAGAGACAATACCAAAGCGAGGGAGTCGATACTAGAGGAAGACCTGGCGAAGAACGTGAGCTTGAGCCTGCACAACTCCTTTTGCTTGAACCGAGAAGCTAGGGTGAAGGCACTACCCAACCAAGCAAAGAGGTTGCAGGAGCAGAGAGAATGGATGCGATCCTATGAACAGCTGAAGGCTTGGGAGGAGATTGTGATTAGTTCCGATGATGAAGAGGAACTGTTGAGACAGTTTGCCGCATCTAGCACTTCAGGATGCAGTACCTCCAAGGCGAAGAGTACGAGATGAATGGGCAAATCGGATGGATCTTGAGTCTTGAGAGGGAAGGGGGGCTTGAGCGTGGATCCGAGTGAAACTTGGATTCACGAAAAAGAAATTTTAACAAAGCAAATATTGTTACTAATATACTATATTTATTATATAAATCGAAATGCTGCATGACAATTTCCTGATTGAATAGGACAAAAGAGATTTTAAAATGATTGGCTTGAAAAGCGAAAATTCAAGGGTGCAGGTGTGTGCAGATTTTGGTTGCTGTTTAGCAATAGTGTGAAAATTTTAAATGGCTGTGAATTTTGGGGTGTAGATAAGCTTAAATCTGCTGCAAACTTCTGTAAATGACCACTGGCACTGTATCTTGAGCAACACTCGGTTTTTCTGGGACTCACTGGCAGAAGACAGCGCGCGATGAGGACATCGATCTCGAGTCCGGGGAGTATGTGCCAGTCGGTCATATTTGGAAGTTTGACCTTGAGAGGAGCAAAGAAACACTTGATTTTGGAGTGAAATTTAATTTTTCAAAATTTCGAATGGAACCTGTCATGCACGATTTTCTCGCGATAACTGAAAATCAGAAAAAAGAAATCAGAACAATTTCAGAACGATTGAGTCACACACGCGGGAAAGTTGTAAGAAAAAGCAGTAGGAAATTGCTATTCGCAATTTCCATCACTATCATAATCGAGAGTAGAGCTGTCCCATCTGTGACAGAGACGAGAGCATTCCCACGAATTGGATTATAGCGACTGGAGTGTTATTCAGAACTGGACTAGAGTGAACCTTCGGTGGAAAGGTGGACAACTTGAGTGTCCTAATGGTTCACAAGAAAACTATTGTCTAGAGTATAAACTCGTTCTCATTGTTAAAACTATAAAACATTAGACTCATTTAGTTACGTTATTTAATTCTTGAGTTAACTACCGACTGGATTATTTCCCACTTCTTGAGCGTGCTACTATGTGAGTACAAATTTAAATTTCTAGAGTGTGTTTTATAATTGTTATGTTGAGGTAAGGCGAGTTTTAGGTTGATCCATCTGAAATGGATCAAAGTTCCACTGTCTAATAAAAAAGCAACTTAACGGATTGTTCCAACCCGGTTTTTAACGGCGTTCATGTATTTTGGGTATCTAGAGACCTAAGTATGGGGACGTTTCTAATTCTAGAGTGGGGGGATATTTTAGTAGTAGCCTTTAAGCTGTAACGGGTCGTAGTCTCATGTCACAAGCGAACCGAACTGGCTCCGACCGTTCTTGAGGTAGAAAAACACAAGAGATGGTGTCCCTGACCCTTGAGCCAGTGGTTATAGGGCCTATTTTTCTTAAGCCTCATGTTTGACTGCAGTAGACGAATGTTACACAGCATTTCCCCGTTGGACGGCGATGCCGATACGCTGTTTTAGGAAGGCGAACGATCTCTTTTCTCCCGTCTCCAGGGCAATTCTCTTAGCGATTGCTGCTAGAGTTTTGTACGAGTCTTCCCCGATACCTCCGAGGTTCTCTACTGCAACTGGTTCAAATAAACACGATCTCGGCAGGTTTGAGTAGTGGTTCCGCTAACGCACCTCTGCTTGGTTGGCAACCGATGGACCGTCTTGGAGCCCGGTGGCGACGTTAGATGCCGCTAACCGGCTCACGCAGGTAAAGTCCCAGGCCAAAACAGCTCCGTTCATCCACGGTACTAGCGTTGCTCCATCGGGCCTCTTACCGTCGTCTCGCAGCATCCCAACTGGTTCCAGTTTTGATGGCACACCAGCTGACGTGAAGGCATCTCTAATTATGTTATTACTAAGTTGATGTCTGACAAACCTGCTCTTAATTTTAGGGCAAACCAGAGGGTGATTGCCGAATTTATCGCAGCTGGTGCCACATGCACAAGTGCATGTTGTGAGAACTGGGGCACCTAAGCGAAGTCCGACCGCAATGCGGAAAGCCTCATCAGTAAGCAGAAGACCCAGGCTGTCTGACAGAAGGGCTGCAAGCCAGTCACCTGCTCCAGGGGCTGAGCAACCTTTTAGTCTTGCGACATCCGTGTCAGAGTTGTAATTGGCGGATATTATAATTTTCTTCTGTTGCAAAACTGGGTTGTACCACGACTTTTGCTGGTGTGGTGTTGTGTTAACAAACGCGTCGGAAAGACCGGTCTTGGCCTTCCAAAGGTCTAAAGCTTTGTTTAGAAAGACAGAGGGAGAGTCTGTTGAAATCAGCCGTGCAACAGCGTTTTTCGTGGCAAAAACAGACGCTAAATAGGCGGAGCTGGACAAATCACACGGTGATTGGATGCCTAGGCCACCCATTTTACAGGTTAAAGATGCTTGATTCCATTCACGATCCTTAATGAGGACATTGCTGATTTTCTGTACCGCCTGTCTGATGTCAGAGGTTATTTGTTGCACTATGTCGGGGAATGAGAATGTTGGAGCAGTTCTAAACAAGAAAATCAACTTAGGCATAGCGAAACAATGGCGAAGCAAATAAATGGCATAATGTGATGGTAGATGATCAAGGTTGTCACAGAGGGTGTTCATTTTGGCTCTTTTCTTCTCCAGGGCTATCTCTAGCGCTTTGTGACCTAATGGGCTGCCTAATAAGTCGGCGTCATCTCTGCCTACAATGATAATGCCCGGGCACACCGCCTGGAAAGCTTGTATGATTTCTATTTTCTGTGCTTCACTCTTCGATAAAAAAGTGAGCTCACACTTAGTGTCGTTAAGCTTCAGTCCGAGGATTTCAGATGCTTCTTTGAAGGCGATGAAGTCTTTGAGAACTATCTTCCAGTTGTCTCCTGCACTTATGTCAACCATGTAACCTGCTTTAAAGCGAGAAATGATGGCACGTAGACATTTGTGAACACTGAGGCAGAACCCAAAAGAGGCTATCGGGTCGCCTTGTTGGAAACCTTCTCTGGAAAAGAGGACATGGGGACCATAAATAAGAAAACTGGGCCTTTCGTAGCACATGTTGTAGAAAGGAAGTAGCTCAGGGCAGTGTTCTTGAAACACGAGTGCCATCTTGTCACGGCGTATAGTATTGAACGCATTGCTAAAATCTAACTTTAGAAAGACGTCACTGTCGTTGGCGTTTTCAAAGAAGATTCTTGCAGCATGGACGGCAGTTTCAGCACCGTTTTTAGCACCAGCCCCCATCTGAAAAGGTGCGAAGAAGTCTAAGAACCGTCTAGTTTCAATCTGACCTGCGCACTTGCCTACTACTCTGCGAAGGGTTTCGCCTACAGCGATGGGTGTAAGATCACCTGCTTTCTTCGACAGTGTGGTAAGGTTAGCAGAGGCAAAAACAGGACGAACGAACTCAGAGGCTTTGCCAGCAAGCATAAGATTGACAAAGTCTCCTAACGTGTTCAAAAGAACGTTTCCGGCATCGGTGGCAGCGGAGGATAGCGAATCTTTGAGATGTTGTGGTCGTAGACCACTTGGTCCTCCCGCTGAGCCAGTGGCGAAGCTCTGCACGGCACTGAGCACGAGAGAACCGGAGACTTCCAACGGTTGCTCCTGTGTGACCGGGAAGGCTTGTCTACCTGGGTGTTCGGGAGGATGTTTCAGTTCCAGTAGTTTCATGTTCTCGTCGCTTGGCAGAACTACTCCCTTGTCAGAAGACGCAATTCTAACCGCAGCCTTGATGTTGCCTTCATTAATTTTCTCACAGATAAGTTTTGAGAGTATTTCATTGTCTGGCATGACATTGTTACGTGGTCTGGGTTTCGACTCCACAGGGCGCACAGCCGCTTCGTTGAGAAACACGTCAATTTGTCGCTTTACAAAGGTTGCCAGGCTGGTTTTCTTTGCTGATCCGGCACGAACAGGGGCTTTCAGACATCGGTGGGCAATGGTAAACACATTGAGCCATGCTGTTTTGCTATCAGTGTCATTAATGACAGCCCGCAGAGCAGTGTTAACAGCATGTGAGAAGTGTATCCTTGCAGCCTTCGGAACATACTTGAGTGTCTTACATTTAAACGCCTTGATGACGTTGATGAAATCATTGGCCGTGAATGAGGTGGCATCTATTGGGGCATTGTTAGGCTCAGTGTCTGATACTGGGACGGGAAGTTTATTAGAGAAAATGCACCTGTTGTTCACCGGTCCGTGTACACGGAAGCGTCCACTCTGATGTGTTGCGATAGACTTACTACAGCCAGGACAGATGCCTCTCTTCTTCGTGTTGCATCTGCATTGGGGGCAGCTGTAGTTGTACTGCGAAGCTTCTTCCAGATTGACCAAACCAGCGCATATCACATGTGCCCAGCAATCGCATATCTCGCACTGGACCCACTGCAACATGTTCTCGTCTTTTGCAATGCATGGTGAGAAAAGACACTCGTTAAGTTTGGGGCCACCACGGCTGCCCCGTCTCCGTCTCATTCCCATAGTCTAACGGGTCTGAAACTATTTAATAAGTTTATCACAACAATTAGGCTAACTTTTTGATCTGTACAAAATCACAAGATCCTTTTGATCTTTGATCTGTACAAAAGGATCAAAGATCATAAAAAGTGTCATACACATCATTATTTCAAAATTTAACCAATCAAAACTTTCCAAATATTACTGAAATTATGTAACAACTATTATGTAACAATTTTGAACATTTGTCACAAATTTCTGAGAGTTTTCACCTATTTTGTTTTTACAATTACGTTTTGTCGCTAATTTTTAAGCTAACATGTATATTACTTAATTTCTTTGTTTCAGCCAGAATTTTTCAATACTGGAACTAAAGCCTTGTACATCTTCAGGTTTTAAAAAACTAAACTGTTTGTAAAAAAAGATCGAAGATCATAAAATTGTCAGACGCAACATTTTTTTGAAAACTAAAAAAGTTAATCAATATCAACTTCACAATTATTAGTAAAAATGATTAACAATTATTATGTAACAAATTTAATAATATAGTCACAAATTTCTGAGAGTTTTCACATTTTTCGTTTTCACAATTTCGCTTTTGTCGCTAATTTCATGCTAACATGTGAGCTTTTTCAATATTTTTCGTTTTCGCCAAAGTTTTTTGATTCTGGAACTCAAGCCTTAGTGTCAGCTCCCCAATTCTGAACTCGTCGCGCTTGTGAATTGCCGGTCTCTCTTTGCTAATGTGCAGCAGCGCCTCTAATGTAACTAACTTGATGCGGCTATATTGGACCATCAAGATGGGTGGTGAATCTCTGCTTGATGCTCCAGGGTACTGAGGTTCAGGGTACTGGAAAATGGGGTGTTTTCGAACCAAGCGGTACACAGTTTTCAGACAAAATTTCTGAGAACAGAGATTAACAAGGCAAGGACAGATGAGGAAAACGTTGAAGTCAAACTAGAAAGAGCGAGAGGCGCTGTGAAGAGGGTGTAGATGAGAAGTTTGTAACTTTCGTCCGGAAGAACATATCGACGCAGAATCAAGCTAGATTCTAAAACGACTGGCCAGCGTCTAAACAAAGCTTTACATGCTTTTCATCGTCTCTACTAAAGCCATTTCTTTGGTGGTCTTTCTAACATCGGGTCGACAAAAACGTTACTCTTGTCCGGCTTCGACCAAAATGCTCAAATTAACTTAAAAACATGCAAAAATAGTGAGCTCATGGCTGGATCTCAGGATCCTTAGACCACGAGGTCACTCCTAAAAACAGGGCTACTACGATTTATTATATTACCATTGTTTTTGTTCGATAGATAAAAACCATCATCTCCATCGAAGATGGATCAACCTTTTCCCTAAACTACTAGCTTTTCATTATCTAAAAATGAATCGAGATGTTAATTAAATTCAATTCAGGAAATGACTAAGAAGCTAAAAATTTGTATAAAACAGTTTGTGTTCAGGTCTCGAGACCCCTCCGGATTCTGGAATCCGGGGAAATAACGTTTTTATTTCCTTTCCGGAAGGCTGTACACGCTGTCCCAACACCCTTCACCGTTTGCGTGAATTGCTCTGTAACGATTGTAGCGACACAATCGTTACAACTCGGAGCGATCTCTGATAATTTCCAGTTGTATCTTGTTATTTCTCGTCGTTTTTTCTATCGCAACTATTGTTGTTGTGTTTTCTTCTCAAAATGGCCGTTTCAACATTTCTCAGGGGTGTGTTGTCACCAATCGAATTTTTAAAAATTGAAAATTCCAGAATCTTCTGACCTTCACGATTCGCCTAATCGTTTAAATAACGTCGCTAATCTGCTAAAACCGTTAATCTTCCAGGTCAGCGGCTACGATTTCGAAATTGCACTTTCGTCCATTCTGGTCGAATGTCACATACTCCCCGGACAGCCCGGTCAATGTCCCCATTGAATCCCGTAGTCTTCGTCAAAATGATACAGTGCCATCGAACAGAATCTACAAAAAGCACGAATTCACTTTTATCCACGTCATATCGACTCACTGCAGAATATAAATGGCATCATACTACACTACTATAGCCTTCCATATTTTTTCACTAATCTGCACTGTCGCGGAAATGACTTAAGATAAACATTTTTTATCACTTCCAAGGTCAATGCCCTGATTTTAAACTTTTTCTCCTAGGTTTTGAAAGGTGTTGGTTTGCAGGACAGTCCTGCCAACCAACAAGCTAAAATTATTCTGCTAAGCTTCTTCCCTTCGGAAATTTTAGTCGTTATGGGTCCTAGATATTAAAAATAAGGAACAACCTGTGGTTAGAAGGAACAATGAAATAATCTCCCTCTTCAAGAGATTACCCAAGCCTTTCAAGTCACCACAAAGTGATCAGTTTTCCTTGTTGATTAAAAACAATCATGCAGGCTGGAATTTTTAAATATACTCTTCACTCAAGCCTTTCTAAAAAATTGGTAAGTGTCTCTAAAGCCACTAACTAAAATCAAAAGGCAAATTTATCAAATCTTCAAAACTCAATTAAAGGTTTTCTTTCAGTTTCAATTACAAATTGGTTGCTTTGTTTCTCATTTGAGTTTTTTTCACATACAAAACAATTCTTAGTTTTAACATCTTCTTTTTCGTCGCTTCTTTGTTTCTTTCTGAGTTAAGTGGTATGGACTATAAATCATAGAGTAATTTCGGATAGGGTACACCGTCTGCTCGTCACGCTATCTTATTTTCGGACGGATAGATTCGTGCAACTTCTTAGTCTAATGCCGATCCTAATCTTACTCTTATATCTACTAGTCTCAGGGTGTTTAACTAGTCTCTGCTAGGCTCAATAGATCTAGAGTATACTGGCTTATTGCGACTGCTTAAGTTCTCTTGGAGAGGGTACTAATCTCTAAGTTAAATTCAAATCTCTCTGGTGCTGAAATTACAGTAATTTCAGCACTTACAAATAAGTGGGTTGTTAGTTAGATGGAATATGATTGGTTAATATTAAATATGTTATAGTGATAAAAAATCTAATTTATCCAATAATAAAATGTAGTTTAGATCATGTTCCAGTACTTTCTTTATTTTTTCGCTCAAATGGTTTCCGCTAATGTTATTTCGGCTTAATTACCTCATTTTGCGTGGTTTGGAAGAGGAAAACATACTGCTATGATCTTCTGTCAGGAGTAAAGATGAGTGAAGAGGTCGAACTTCAAAACACTTACAGCTCAAAGATTTTCTTTGTCACAATTTTGTTTTCGGCTCAAGTGGCCTCTATTCAATTTTTGTCAGATTAGTTGCCGCACTTTAATAAATTTTGTATGCGCTTTTATTCTCTGTGAATATGCTTTTCGCCTCGTCGTGCGAGATGATCAAATAAATTTTTTCATAGATGTAGCTTATTTTATATGTTTCTACGACACAGCGGCTTGTATCTCATGTTCTTTCCGCTAGCTTGCAATGCAAGGTTTGTTTGGGCTGTATCACGAGTTTTGCGGAGCTTCACTTCTGCGGTTAAAATGATCTCAATCATTTGCTATATGAAACGCAAACTAAGCTCTCCGATAAAAAAAGTGCTAGTCGCCGAAACGATTTTCAAATGGAGTTTTCCGTTTTGTAATATCAGGCGAACAACATCAACTATGGATACTGTTTACTCAATTTGGCTAATTATATCAAAAAGTTTCAATTCCAAAAGATTCTCCAAATGCAAAAGCTTAAGATCGTACATTTTTTTAGAAACTCTAAAATAAAAATTTGAAATAAATTTAGTTCTTTTTAGAATAAACGAATCGAGTTTATATTTGCGCCGTGATTTTTCTTCAGAGCTGCGTTGGTTAGTTTGGTTTAGTATATAATTCCTTTCCAACCGGGTTAAAGGAAAGTTTGAAATTTGTTATTGCTTGTTAGAGTTGTTGTTAGTGAAAACTTGAAACTTAAAATTCATTATTTAAACAATTCTTCGTGGGCGCGCTGAGCGTGTTTGAATAGAATTCTTGTGCGAATGAATGAAATATTGAAAATGTTAGTACTGCTTTCTCATTTTACGAGCTTATTGCTTAGAAATTGAATTTTACTGCTTTTTGGGGAAATTTAAAATTATAAGTTTTCATCGCATCTAATTTAACTGTTTTTTTTTGGGAAATAATTTATAAATGAAATTACTACATTGGGTATGATTTTTACTACATTATTTAGTGCGTAAAGTTTAGGAGTTTTATTATAAATTAACAAGTTTGTATTTTAATTTGTCTTTTATCTGTTTCGTAGATGATTGTGGTGTGAAGACTAAAACAATAAATTAAACATTGATAGAAAATGGTTAGTACATTTTTGAATTTATTAGTTAAAATTATCTTATCTCATATTTACCTTATTCATCTTGGAAAAAGCCATTTGGGAAGATATCGTGAATCAAATCTGATGTTGTTAGTTACTTGGCTAATATGCGTGTAACATTTTTAGTTTGTAACAGTGGCCAAAGCAATTGAAGTGCGTTGATGGTGTTTAGATCTTCTCTGCCTACTGCGAATTCATGAGGTGTGTTTTGGATTAGGTTGTAAATTTTATGCTTGTATTTAAGGTTATAGATAAATTCTAGTATGGGTATTTCAATAGGTTGGATGAATTCATGCGGGATAATGAAGTGTCTTGATTCTTCATCATTGAAGGTCTTCGTGATGGGACAGAATATATAAATTTGGGTAACGGGGTCGTAGTTGCGGAGGATGCCGTGGAGGTTAGTATTTTTTAATGCAATATGTAAAATTCAGAAAGAATGGTGACGTGTATTTCGAGTTAATAAACTGAAAACGGTGGTGGAGTTTTCGTGATGGTGTGTGTAAATCCAAATGGTTTTGTATAAAACGATAATATGTGTAGTGTGCGTTTGTTTAGTGCGTAACATTATATCTTGGGAACAGTGCAAATCGCGTTCCTGTGGTGAAAGAAAGTGAAAGGTTAGTGAAAATAACTGAAATTTATCATAGAAGCTTTCATATGCTTGTATGTCAACTAGTGCTTCTGAAATTATATGATCATGCTTTTTATCAAAAATATTAAGTGTAAATAAGTATGGTGCTTTAATTAAAAAAAT